GACCTTGGAGGTCTACATAGAGTCACAGGCCTGGAAGGGACCTTGGAGGTCTTCTAATCCAACCCGCTACCCAAGACAGGATTCCTGATACCATCCCAGACAAACCCAGTCTCTTCTTGAAAACCTCCAGGGATGGAGCACCCACAATTCCAAGAGGTTAAGCTCTTCCACCGATTAACTGCTCTCACTGTCAGGAGTTAGGGGCTAGAGTTCCAATGTAAGCTGGTTTGGGATGAGCAAATCATTACTGCCAGGTTGGCATCGATATGTGTCAAATTATCGGGCAGAGGTCGTTACCTCCTCCAAACTAATGATTAACTGGAGATGTAAAGATTAATTCCAGGAACTTTTAAACCGCACAATGCATTGGCTCACATCCTGTGGAGCCCATGCAATCGAGGGCCTTGTCTTCTAACGAGGAGGTGACTCACACAGAACCATCCCGGGATGGTTCTGTGTAAGTCACCTCCTCGTTAGAAGACAAGTTGCAACAGGAGTGAAGACAGACAGACAGGCAGAAAGACACACACATACACTGCATCTATAATTGAACCTGAACCGTCATAGCCTGAGTGCGACTCATGATTTCCTTTGTCAAGTGATGTAAAAATGAACAGACTCTTTGAAATTCACATGAGCTGAAAGGACCCTCTCAAATCCCTGAGTCAGCCCTGGCTCTGGGAACAAGGAGCTTGCTGCAAGCCACCATTTTTGCCTTGTCATGATACAGGAAGTGAATGCATGTAACATATGTCTTAATTTTGAACTTCCTTCCCTTCTTCTCCTTCCTTCCTTCCCTTTTTAAATTCCTTCTTTCCTTCCCATTTTTAAACTCCTTCCTTCGTTTTAAATTCTTCTTTCCTTCCCTTTTTAAATTCCTTTTTTCCTCCCCTTAAACTCCTTCCTTCCTCTTTTCCTTTCCTTCCTTCTCTTTTCTTCCCTTCCTTCCTTCCAATCCTTCCTTCCTTTTTCAAATTAATTCCTCCCTCCCTCCACTTTTTTCATTCTATCTTAATTTATAATGCTGCCATTCCCCCAATAGGATGACCCTGGGCAGCTTGAAATCTCATGAGGTTTCGTGACGGAAGGCCTAAAATCTTGTAAGTTGGAGGTTACAACAAGATTCGAGGTTTCAAAATGCTATTTCTTACATAACATCCTGGTGCTGGCTATTTCATCTTGGAACATCACAGGCACTGAGACCCTTAATGGACCAGGTATCTAACCTGCAAGTTAACTCCCACATTTTGATTTTAAAAAAGAGAATGAGTCACAGCAGTGGGCCATAACCTGGGGGTCTTACTGATGAGCTGGACCACCAATTTTAGGGCAGCCAGGAGAAAGGGAGGAAGGAAGAGCAAAATGAAGGAAGGAGGCTGCTCAACAATTCTAGGGCTGCACAGCCCTTCACAACTCCAAAATCTCACCCAGGGGAAAGGTGGGGGAGCCACAAGAAGGGGAGCAGAATGGCACTCACCTTCTGGGGGTTCAGACATAGGTGGGGTGAGGCAGTACATATGATAACCACGGTCACAATCATCACAGAACAGCAGCTGGTCCTGAGGAAGATGGGGAGGGAGAAACAATGAAGAAGGATACTACTTAACTCCCCCTCCTGTTGGACTGGAGAAAACAACACCCAGAGGACTTAAGTACTCCCCTTTCTTTTTATGAATCCCCCAAAATGTGACATTTCCCAGCATGCAAAAGACCCTGGAAGGCTCTCCAGACCCATGTTCCTACCCAACCTCCTCACTGTCCGAATCTGCTGCCAGCTTTGCTGGCTGCTGGCGGGCCACAACAGAACCAGATCAGCCTTTGGGGGACAGGAAGGGGGGGGAGCACACTCACATCGTTCTCCGAGGTGCCGCAGATGTTACAGCACTTGCATTCAATACACTGCCAGCGGTAGGTCTTCACGGCAGCCATCATGACTGGGGTGAACTGCAAGCAAGATGGATGCCCTAGAGAAGCAAGAGAGGGGGGGGGGCAGCGTTAAGATGTAGCCACCTTATCCTGGGAAAGGCGGGTGAGTTATTTGGTAGGCGGGCAGCTAAGGTGAAAGAGAGCCTCCCCCCAACTTCCTTTTCTCAAGGGCGCACCCAAGGAGGGGAGAGGGCTCCCATTGGCTCGTGTACCTGATCGCCCGCAGTCCGAGCACGAAACCAGCTCTTCGGGTTGACCCGTCTTCTTGTTGATCTTCGAGTCTCCCAGGCAGAAGTCGCAGTAATTATTGGGCAGGGCCAAACCATCGGGACCCTTCTTGGCTATGGGGGAGGAAGGGGTTCGTCTTTCAAAGCAAGGCACAGGATCGTCCTCTTTAGCAGGACAGCTAAACCCTGAGACACCTCCCCCCCCACTCCCCAAAAATGGGCAAATCCTGCACAGAAAACTTTGGGCAGCAAAACTGTGAGATCAGAAACATAACTTGGGCTCAGCAAGTTTCCTAACCAACATATTGGTTGCAAATTATTTCTGTTTTTTAAACCTTGGATGGTCCCTTTTAAACCGTTATAGCCGAGCCCATTTCTAACCGCGGTGGGTAATTGTAGCCTGTCAATTCTCACGGCTGGAGGTGGGCACCATGATCTTCTCTGAAAATGGGACCAGTGGGGGAATTGGCCAGGGTGGAAGAAAACCCCCCCCTTGCTGGAGAAGGTTCCCGTTGATAAGCATAATTGGGCAACAAAGCTGGAGCCCTTTCGGACTCCGGCCGCTGCAGGTGATTCAAAAACAAGAGTCCCAGCGAGGAGTTGGGGGAAGGAGGGAGTGGAGGTGACGAATGCCAAAGTGGACCAATGCAACCTGACAGCAAGGCTGTTCCATGACCTCCGTTATGCAAGGACCAGCAGGGCTGAACAAAGGGGCTGTCCTGATTGGTAGGGAACAGGCTGAACAGCAGCACAGAAAACCAGCCCTGGGATTCGCCCCACCGACTCCAAACAAGTCAAAAGGGAGGGGCAGAAGCTCCCCGCAGCTTACTTTTCTGCTCCTCTGATCTCTGGGAGACGGGGGTGGGGGGCTGCGAGTCCTCCTTGTCTTCCCCTTCTTCTTCTGCCAGGTGACAGTGAGCGTAGTGGTAGCTCAGGCCGGGACGATTCTTGTAGCGTTTCCCACAGACTGACCAGGAAAGGATCAAAAGGAAAGACTTCAGAGCCACGTGGGATGTAAAAGAGCAGCCCCAGCCCCCCCCCTCCACGCCCCTTCTCAGCAAAACCCACCAGTGGGCTAAGCCTCCGTTCAACATCCACCCCAAAGCCTGCTTCCCCAAACAGGTAGTCCTCAATTTACAACCGGTCACTTAATGACTGTTCAGAGTTATGACAGGCCTCCTCAGAGCTACCTATGACCTGTCTTGGGAGTTACGACAGCCGCACACCCCACCCTGCGGTCACACGATCACATTTTGGGCCCCTCGGCAACCGGGGCACTTTTGCAGCATCCTGCGGACACACAACTGCAATTGTGACTTTTGGGGGAGGGGGCTGGTTTTCAGCGTTTTCTTCTGGTTTCCAGCAAAACAAAACAAAAAAAAAAAATCCAAAAACCAATGCCCATTGGGGAAAATGGATTCGCTTAACAACTTCTGCATTCGTTTAATGATGATAACTTTGAACCCGGTCACCCGATACTTCGAATGACGGCTCCAATGACTGAACGACTGCAATCCGGCCTCAATTACGGTTGTTAAGTTGAGGACCACTTGCACAGAAGTGGAAGGAGTGCCTATCTAGTTGCACAGTTGCTGGTAGCAGGGTAAGAGGTATTCCCTCTTCTCACAGAACAGAACCTGATCACTTCCGCGAGACCCAAGTTCTGCCTGTCACCTTGTTCCAGGGAACTCGGCAAACTCCCATGGCGGCTCATTCAGGGCCACAAGCAAAACAACTCTTGGCCACAATAGTGGAATGGCCAACATTCCGTACCCCAACCCAGCATTGCAAACAATCCATAAAGTGCATGCAGACGACGGATGATGAAATTCAACCTTCTGGTTTTCATGAAACAGAGGACTGAAATTCTACGGATGTTATCTGATGTCCAAAAAGCAAAGGTTAAGGATATTCAATGGACAGCGAGGATGTTTTTCTGCCCTTCCATATGTGCGGGAATAATGTGTCTTGGGGGGGAAAAAATCATGTTTACTCAAGACTCCATCCTTTATGCAAATCTCAGGTATGACCCTGATTTGCCACCTGTTCTGACCTAGACTTCCATAACAAGCATGAAGCAGAGTCTTGGTCCTGGCAAAACCTTTTATTTACACGACTGTGAAATCCTTTCGTTCACAGCCAGCAAGGCTTAGCAAACAGTCTTTCAGAGGAATGTTTATCCACACGAACCTTATCTCGCTTGGAGAGCTGCCAGATAACTAGTTTCCAAACGCAGGGCAAGGCAACCCTTGGCACAGAGTCTCTTATAGTCACAAACAGAACTTTCTGCTCTAGAAACGACCAAAGGGACGAATTGTTTCCTGCACAAGCACCCTCCCTGTTTGCTCCTCTTTTGTTTCCTATGGGGGGGGGGGAGGGAACAAGGTGTAGCTTTACTCCTAAGTTGACCCTGCTTTCTTAGTTGTTCTTGTCTTCTGGCTGCCCTACGCATGCGCACACTAGGAACAGGCTCCAGCTGTTCTTCTGCCTCACTGCTGTCTAGATCCCTCTCTGTCTCTGACGCAGAGCCCTCGTCTGAGCTTCCCTCAACCCCCAGGACTGGCCCATGTTCCTCCCCAACCTCCTCACTGTTCGACTCTGCAGGCCATAATACCACCTCCCTTCCCAAATCCAAGCCTTCCCTGTAAGTACTTTTGCATAAATATCCCTATTCTAGATTTTGCTATAATTAAGCCTATACCGCTGTTCTCATAATTAAAAAGACTTGCACAGTTGTTTGGTTTTTTTTATAATTTACCCCTATTCTATTTTTTGTTGTCTTCCTCATGCCGAATTTTGGCTCATGTGGTGCTTGGAACATGAAGCCACCCCCTTTACTTCTGTGCAGCCTTGTGCTTTCTAACTTAACAGTATTTCTGTCAGTTTAAGCCCAGCCTGGCAAATGAGCTTGCAAAAGCTATGCACTTGGTTAATGCATTTTAGCATTAACAGGTTAGAATAGAATAACAAGAGTTGGAAGGAACCCTGGAGTCCCTTCCAGTCCAACCCCCTGCCTAGGCAAGAAACCCTACACCACTTCAGACAAATGATTATCCAATCTCTTCTCAAAAATTTCCAGTTGAAGCATCTACAACCTCTGGAGGCAAGTTGTTCCACTGATTAATTGTTCTAACTGTCAGGAAATTTCTCCTCAGTCTCAGTTGCTTCTCTCCTTGATTAGTTTCCACCCATTGCTTCTTGTCCTACCCTCAGGTGCTTTGGAGAACAGTTTGACTCCCTCTTCTTTGTAGCAATCCCTGAGATATTGGCACAATCTTATCATGTCTCACCTAGTCCCTTCTCTTCACTAGACTAGCCGTGCCCAGTTCCTGCAACCGTTCTTCATATATTTTGTTTTTCTAGAGTCTCAACATCCTTTATATATCGTGGCGACCAAAACTGGATGCAGTATTCCAAGTGTGGCCTTACCAATGCATTATAAAGTGATATTAATATTTCATGTGATCTTGAGCTTTCTAACTTACAGTATTTCTGTCAGTTTAAGCCCAGCCTGGCAAATGAGTTTGCAAAAGCTATGCACTTGGTTAATGCATTTTAGCATTAACTGGGATTTCCATGCTACCGGGAGAGGGGGGGTGGGGGGAGATTCCTTCTTCTGCACCCAGCATGGACTCTTTCGGTAATGCTTTAAAACTAGCTCCTTATTTAAGGGAAAGCATGGCATAAGCAAACATAACCACTCTTTGACTCTGATCATAAGAGGAAAGGTGGGAGTTAGTGGAACAGGGAATTCTGGGATTAAGAGATTAGGAATATGCCTTCCTCATATTGCTGAATTACAACTCTCAGCATCCATCATCAAGGCTATCCAAGGAGTGTTAGTTAGCAACATCTGCGAGTCCACAACTATCTATAGCAGGGCTCTCCAAATTTGGCAATTTTAAGTCTTGTGGATTTCGACTCCCAGGCAGCCCTGCTGGCTGGGTAATTCTGGGAGTTGAACTCCACAAGTGTTACAGATGCCAAGTTGGGAGACCACCTAAACTGCAGAAAGAGGCCTGGGCTACATTTTAGCTGCTCTTTTCTTCCCTCAACAGAAATGTATCTTCTTCACTGCTTACTATCCTTCTCTGCAAAATACTGGAACGAAGAAGACCTGATAGAACTAACTCCTAGCTTTAGATTGTGCCAGGAACATATTTAGTGGCAAGGAAAGCAGAATAAGTAATCCATCACCTTCTCCGCGGCTCAAATTAATCCACCAAACAATACCTCCTAAATCTGGAAACAGCTCAGGCCAGGAACAAGAAAACAGACCATATTTAGAAGGAAGCAGTAGAGCTGCTGGTGGGAGGGAAGTGGCGGATAAAAAGGAACAAATCCTTTCCAAATCCTTTTGAGCTATGTAGGTCTCACGACTCGGGGACGTTTCAGTATGGATGTGTGTGTGTGGGCACACATGAATATGGATATGTGTGTTTGATCAGCAACTGGAAATCTAATTTGCCAAGAAGAAAAAAGTGACAGCTCTCTTAAGGGTTGCGTAAACCCAGCTGACTACGGAAAGGCTATGCTCTATGCAGCTACTACAGTCAGCAACCAAAATGGATATGGAAAAAGATCTGACTCAGTTCTTCTGCTGGTGGGAAAGAAAAACCCAGCCCTTCTCCTTCAAACCTACACATTTACGTTCCACAGAGGAGGAAAAAAGGGAGAAGGGGAAGAGATCCTGATGATTGCATTTCTGTGACCAAGGATTCTCTCGTTATAGCACTTAGCACTTAGACTTATATACCACTTCTTAGTGCTTTACAGCCCTCTCTAAGCGGTTTACAGAGTCCACCTCTTGCCCCCAACAATCTGGGTCCTCATTTTACCCACCTCGGAAGTACGGAAAGATGAGTCAACCTTGAGCCTGGTGGGATTTGAACTGCCGAATTGCAGGCAGCCAGCAGAAGTAGCCTGCAGCACTGCACTCTAACCACTGCGCCACCAAGGCTCAGTTATCGCTATCAACAATTGAATCCAGGCTTAGAACTGTCTTTGTCAGGAAGAAAGCCAGCAGCACTGGTTACACAGGTAGTCCTCCGCTTGCAACGGTTCATTTAGGGACTGTTCGAAGTTACAACAGCATTGGAAAAGGTGACTTACGACCATTTTTTCACACTTACAACCTTTGCAGCATCGTCATGGTCGTGTGATCAAAATTCTTGGGATGCTTGGTGACTGGTTCATATTTATGATGGTTGCAGTGTCCCGGTGTGTGTGTGTGTGTGACCCCCTTTTGTGACCTTCTGACATGCAATGGGTGAGCCAGATTCACTTAACAACCGGGTTATTAACTTAATAACTACAATGATTCACTTAACAACTGTGGCGAGTGAAGTCGTGAAGTGGGGCAAAACTGACTTAACAAATTTCTCACTCGGTTAACATAAAGATTTGGGGCTCAGTTATAGTTGTAAGTTGAGGACTACCTGTATTCCCAACAGTCTGACAGAATTGAGAAACTTCCATTTTTGCTGAGAGCAGCGAGGAAATCCAGCAGATTATCTAGGATCACCTGGCTGCTGGGGAAAGAAAAGGGCTGCCTAGCAAATAGCTCAGAGGTCACCTAATGAAGGGAATGAAGAGCAAAGACTCGGGCCGTTGGGCTATTAGTAACAGAATTTACAAAACCCGAAGACCTTTTGCCCTGTTCCTGTGCTAACAAGTCTCTTCAGCTGGAGAAGGCAAAGTCCCAACTCAGTTGCCCCCCCCCTCCCCACACTCCATGAGGCATAAGCTCAGCAGGCCGGAAGAAAAAACAATCCTCTCAACGCCAATTAAGATTATTGGTGTATTAAAAGAGAATTTTACAGATTCTAGCAACGATGGAAGTAAACGCAAGCTCCTGCCACGTCCCAACATCCGGCAGAACAGATTTGGAATGGCAGCTGATCTGAATTGACGCTGGGGGTTTGCCACAGCCAGTTATGCTCTACAACAGCGTTTCTCAAGACGTCTGGACTTCAACTCCCAGAATTCCCCAGAAACCGTTTTCTCTTTGGCCTCAATTTTGCAAAGCTTGACACTATCTCAAATCCGTCCTTCTCTAGAGGGAAAACGTCAAATTCTCAATTCAACACATTCACTACCACACTTCAAAAGAATTCATCTTTCCCCAAACCCACAATTCGTGCGCAAATGCCATGTTTGCCCCCGCCCCTCTCAATATGTCACATAATGTAAAAGGTTCCCCTCGCACAAATGTGCTAGTCGTTCCAGACTCCAGGGGGCGGTGCTCATCTCCATTTCAAAGCCGAAAAGCCAGCGCTGTCCGAAGATGTCTCTGTAGTCATGTGGCTGGCATGACGCAATGCAGAAGGCGCAGGAAATGCCGTTACCTTCCCATCAAAGGTGGCCCCTGTTTTTCTACTTGCATTTTTTACCTGCTTTCAAAATGCTAGGTTGGCAGAGGCTGGGACAAGTAATGGGAGCTCACTCTGTTACACGGCTCTAGGGATTCGAACCGCCGAACTGCTGACCTTTCTGATCGACAAGCTCAGCGTCTTAGCCACTGAGCCACTGCGTCACTTTTATATGTCACATACATAAAACCAAAATAGATATCATCGGAAGGGAGGGATTTTTGGCACTCTGCATGAGAAGACCCAGGGGGGGTTTTGTGGGAAAAGGGGGGAAAAAAGGGGGGGGGGGAGGAAAAAGTGTTTTTAAAAACGAACATTTCAGAAGAACAAGATCAGGAGGAAATTAAACAGCAAGACAGAAAGAATGGAATACCTCGTTCAGGAGGTTTGGAGGTATGCTTTTGTTTGTAACTATCTGAAACACAGAAAGAGAATGAGAGAAAGGTGAAAGGCAGTCCGTAAGATCACACACGTCACATGCACACAAAGTCAGCTATTCAGAGCGATTAAAAAAGGAGGAGAGGAAAATAAAAGCTCACTGGTGTTATTTCAAATTAAGAGGGGGGGGGTTGCAGTATAAAATCCTTACAGGAGAGTAAAGGAGGAGAGAAAAGAAAAGAAATTTCAGGGTACTCATGATTTGCCCCTTAGAAAGGTCTTGCCAATTGCCCTTCACTCCCAACTTTTCCATTAATCGCCAAGGTTTCATTCATGGGCATTTATTTTTTTTTCCTTTGGCAAATCGGTGTACAGAGAACAGGTCAAAGATCAAACCGTTGTGAAATGTGGAGCTCAAAGGAGACGCTGTCTACCGTAACTCTGGGGGGGGGGTCTGCATGTGAGGTGCAACAAGAGACATATAACAGTAGCAAAAAGGAGAAAGAAAAGAAGCAGCCCAGGATAAAGACAGCTTCTCCTCCCTTTGCTGTGTGTGTGAGAGAGAGAGACCCAATCCCAGGATCTGCCAGAAGAAACGGGTTAGAACTTTTCCCAGAATCCCACGGGTGGGACGGAGAAGACGCCCAACTCAGAAATGAATCTGTTTCCAAGATGCTCTCTTAAGGGAGCCAATTTCAGGCAGCAGAGAAGTGGCCAATGTTGCGTGTTTCTGCATCTCACTGAACTTCTCATCGGGGCAAAACTGGAAAAAAAAAAAACCTCTTCATCAGGCAAAACTGCCATTTATTTTTGGGGAAGTTGGGTAAAGAAATGTTACCTCCTTCACACTGCGTGATAAATGATGTCTTTTGGCTCACCCCAAAAACGGGTCTCAGCCCAGTGCACGATAAATTGGGGGGGGGCAAGTAAAAGAAGGTGGACGTAGCCAGCCTGTGGCACATCTTCCCAAGAGACCCCCCCTCATCTGGGCAATCGCACATAACCCCATCCTGACACCAGGAGCTATTCCCGGCTTATACACCAGTAAAATCGAGAAGCTGTTTACTATAACCCGGCTCGCCCTTCTTACTCACTGTCGCATGCGTAAGGTTTGTCTCTGTCTTCCAAAATGGCTGCATCCAGCTTTTTCCGAGCGCTCCCAACTCCTTTACCCTATAAGGAAATTAGATATTTTTTGGGGGGGAAATTGAAGGTAGATACACAGTATGATTTCTTTCTGGGTTTGGAGGAAAATGTAAAAATCTAAGATGGAACCACATTCCAGTTAGTATACATTGTACTGTATTTGATTTGTGGTCTCTCTCTCTCCCGTTCTCTGCAGAACAGAGACTGGAGAGAAAGGATTTGAAGAGAGTAAGCTCTTCGGTCTTCTGCAGTCCCGACATAAGCCTAAAGTTTGAAAATCAGGCTTGTCAGACGTTACGTCTTTTCTATCCTGCTCTACGGAGTAGAGAGTTGGTCTTGGACAGAAAACCACTTCAAGAAACTAGAAGCATTTGAAATGTGGATTTACAGATGGTTGTTACGTATAAGCTGGGTTGACAAAATCAGAAACAAGGAGGTGATAAGCCGCTGGGAAAGCCAAGGAAAATCATCAAAACCATAAAAAAGCGAAAGTTAGAATATTTTGTACATGTGATGGGATACCCAGAAAAATATACCATCCTTCGCTTCATCCTACAGGGAAAGATTAAAGACAATGGAAGTCCAGGCAGAAGAACATCGTGGCTTCAAAATCTAAGGGACTGGTTTGGACAAAACTCAGCAGCACTTTTTTGTGCGGCTGTTGATCAAAATAGGATCGCCAACATGACCGCCGGTGTCCGATGACGGATAGGGCACTATAAGGAGCCGTTTGTGTAGCATGCCCACAGCTCTCAGCCCCAGGCTGTCAATGCAATCGCATTGCCTTCAATGGGTACAAGACAGTAAAAGCAAGCATTTGAACCTTCCAAAGGAGAGGGAAAGGGTTAGGAGGACGGCAAACAAAAGATGAAGATATGAAACTGAATAGTCTTGTCCGTTTTCAGCTAGAAAGCACAGTTATGTTTATGAGATTTCCTCATTGTCACGACCACTTTGCTTAGGGGCAAAGCAGCTGGTCCTGAGGAAGGTAGGGAGGGAGAAACAATGAAGAAGGATACTACTTAACTCCCCCTCCTGTTGGACTGGAGAAAACAACACCCAGAGGACTTAAGTACTCCCCTTTCTTTTTATGAATCCCCAAAATGTGACATTTCCCAGCATGCAAAGGACCCCGGAAGGCTCTCCAGAACGGTCAGACCCATGTTCCTATCCAACCTCCTCACTGTCTGAATCTGCTGCCAGCTCCCCAATTAGCGTTAAGCGAGGACTATTTGCATGTAGGTGGTTAGTTCTGCTAATCACACTAAGAAAATATGTAGACCAAGGCTGCCACCCAGTGAAAGATCTTTGTAACAATCTTAGAATGAGTATTTATTCATTTCTCTAAACCACTCTAAGATCTTTTTCAGATGGCAGGTAATAATAACTTGGATTAACCAAGCATTTTGATTTTTAGATGCTCAGAGTAACACCTGCACTCTGCTTATGGCTTCTACTCTAAAACACCTGTCTTCCCAGCATCTTTTGGGAGATTTCAGGTATCTCCTAAAACCCTAGTAAGATCATACCTGGAATGCTGCAACCAATTTTGGTTACCAGACTACAAAAAAAAAGATGTTGAGGCTTTGGAAAAAGTTCAGAGAGAAGAGCAATTAAGATGATTAAAGGCCTGGAGATTAAAACATAGGAAGAACAGTTGCAGGATTTGGGTTTGGCTAGAGAGAAGAAGGACTAGAGATGACACGATAGCAGTCTTCCAGGATTTGAGGGGCTGCCACAAAGAGGAAGGGGTCAACTTATTTTCCAAAGCACCAGAAAGCAAGACAAGAAACAATGGATGGAAACTAATCAGAGAGAAGCAACCTGGAACTGAGGAGAAACTTCATAACAGTGAGGACAATTAACCAGTGGAACAGCTTGCCATCAGAAGTCGTGGGCGCTCCGTCACTGGAGGTTTTTAAGAAGACACTGAACAGTCAATTGTCTGAGATGATATAGATTCTCCTGCTTGAACAGGGGGCTGGACTAGAAGATCTCCACGGTCCCTTCCAGCTGTGTTCTATTCTATTCCTTGCCTAAAGTGTTCAGAGGCCTTCCTTAGTCCACATTACAGAAGCAGATGTAAGATTCAGGGAGCCTACAGAAGTCGAAACGGAGGAAATTTTTAAGGGAGGCACGTTCACCCCTTACCTTCGCCTTTCCTTTGCCTCGTCGTTTTGGGGTGTCTTCCTCGTAATCTTCATCATCCAGATCATCCAGGAAGTCATCGGGTTCCAGGATTCGCTGAAACAAAAAGGATGCAAAAAGCTGTGAGAAACTGATGCTTTCATTCATCCAAAGGAATATTGCCATTAAATCACAGCTTTGCAGGTGTCGGGTTCTTTGACAAGCTATCTGATAACAACCCTCCCTTGTCTGGTCAATCAATGCATTGATAGTTTTTCTGTAAAAACCAGGCAAGCGCAGTTTGCAAGCAGTTGTGCTGGACAAATGCTAAGAGCAACAATATTCCTGCTCAATCAGGGACCATTTTCAGTGCAGCTTCTGAATCCAAAGGCAGATGTAGGTAGTCCCCGACTTACAACAGTTCGTTTAGTGACCGGTCAAAGGTACAACTGAAAAAAAAATGACTCATGGCCATTTTTCAGTTACGACCTTTTCAGCATCCCCCATGGTCATGTGATTTACATTCAGATGCTTGACAACTGGTTCATACTTATGACGGTCGCAGCGTCCCGGGGTCACGTGATCCCCTTTTGCGACTTTCTGACAAGCAAAGTCAACGGGGAAAGCCAGATTCACTTAACAACCAGGTCTTATCAACTGTAGTGATCCACTTAACTGTGGCAAGAAAGGTCGTAAAATGGGGCAAAACACACTTAACATCTGACATAACAACAGAAATTTTGGGCTCAATTGTGGTCGTAAGTGGAGGACTACCTCTACAGCCTGATTGATAAATAGGACTTATATAGGATCCAGGCTATTTGCCACTGTACCTCTAGGGTTTTTTTAAAATCATCTAATAAATATTTTGTGTTCTCTCTCAAATATATGATGGAACCAGTGTATTTGTATGCTGTGGTTTTCCTTATTCCCCTAGTGGCTTAATACAGGTAGACCTCAAGTTACAACAGTTCATTTAGTGACTGCTTGAAGTTACAACGGCCCTGAAAAAAGTGACTTATGACGTGTTTTTCCACACTTACCACCACTGCAGCATCCCGGTGGTCAGGTGTTCAAAGTTCAGATGCTTGGCAACTGACACGTGTTTATGACGGTTGCAATATCCCAGGGTCTTGTTATGAACTTCTGGCAGGTAAAGTGAATAGGGAAGCCAGATTCACTTTACAACCGCAAGAGTAACTTAACGACTGCAGTGATTCACTTAACAACTGTGGCAAGAAAGGTGGTGAAATGGGGCAAAACTCACTTAACAATTTTCTCGCTTGACAACAGAGATTTTGGGCTCAACTGAGGTGGCAAGTGGTAGAATCCTCGTCCAAGGTCTCTACGTCTCTTTGCAGGGAATGTTAACGATCAGCATGAACCAAGGGGAAAGGAATCAAAAAAGAAAGCTATGGATTCTCTACAGGATCCCAGGCAACAGCACTCAGAAAGGAATGAGGGGTGATCCATTTCTAATCCCACTCCCAACAGGAGATCCATGTCGCTATTCTCAAGGGGTGGCTATACAACCCTCAGCCTGAGAGACAAGAGTTGCCACAGGAAGATGGGTAGCATATAGTTAATAAATAAAATACAAATGGTTTGTTCTTGGCAGCTTTGTATTTATTATAAGTTTTATATTTTACTTTTAATTTTCCTTGGTGGCCAGAGCAAGTTGGATGGTGATAAGAAAGCAGGAAGGGAAGGGAAGAGAAGAGAAAGAGACAGGGAAAAGAAAGGAAGGAAGGGGGGGGGGGAGAGAAAGAAACAAAAAGAAGAACAATATGTTCTATACATGAGCATCTTTCAAAGGAAAGATGTCTTATTTTACCACAGGCTGCCATTCTCTACACTACCTTCCGGGTGCGGCTATTGGCAACGGGGAACTCGCTGAGGCTGTCTTCATCGGTACGAGGGTCAGGCAAGCTGCGTTTCTCAAGGGGGTCTGTCCTTAAGAGGGCCTCCAAACTGCTGCCATCTTGAGAGATTAAGCCTTCTTTCTTTAGGGCCTGCTCAGTGTCTGCCAAAAACAGAGATTTCATTGTCTTAAAGCCATTAAGACAAAGAATCCAAGCTACCAATAAAAGGAGAATGTTGGTCACTTAGGGTTGAAATGGAGGGCCCCTTGGTGCTCTCTGAGCTTGGTCGTTTTCTGGCAGCTGTTTCATGACCCAATCTAGGTAACAGCATTGAGGATGTTACCTAGTTTGAGTAAAGAAAACATCTGCAAGAAAACAACCAAGCTCAGAAAGCACCAAGGACCCCATAGTTCTCTCCTCCTTCCCCCCCTCCCTTTTAGCATTGATGATGTTTCCTAGTTGGGTCATGAAATGTCTGCAAGAAAACAACCAAGCTCAGAGAGCCCCAAGGACCTCTCAATCTAAACTTCCGTTGACCTTGGCCAAATAACCTAAGAGACGTTTGATAGGCACCACAGGCCAATGCAGAAATCTACTAGGTCCTAACACAAGAATGACATGATCTCTTCTGTCACCTTTAATGTTGCATCTATACGGAATTCTTACTTGCAACCTGACATTTTTTAAAAATGTCTGGCTGTCCTGTTGCTCCATTAGTATACAAGTAACAGGATACAAAGGTACTTTCTGGCTGATTTAGAACTACAGAGTTCTCACCTCAGGTAGCCCCCATCTACCTGTCCAAATTACCCCGGAATTTGCCTGGACAATTTACAAATTCTGTAATATATGCCTGAATGATCACTTCAGCCAGGTGAAAGCTCTGTCATGATTCCGCCTGCAATGATAGAAATTTAAAACTTTGTATAATACAGACAGGGCAAACCTGGTTTAATGGTAGGGAAAGAAAGTCTTGGATCCTCTGGAGGATGGGAACGGCGTTTTTTCCGCCAGCGTCGAGCCGGATAAGAATAGAGCTGGCCAGATGCCAAACCTTCCAAAAACAGAAAAAAGAGGAAAACAAAGCCTGCTTAATTATTCAATTTATATATAAAGGGGGGGGGGGGAAGCTTATATATAAAGTTAGGCCAAATTTATGGCAAACTCTTTTGGTTTGGGATATTGAACACTTCTAGAAGCTCTCTTTGCAGGAATCATTAAGCTGCCCAGAGTTTCTTGATAGCTAGATGGGCAAATAAAATAAAAATAAAGCAATTTTAGTATATACCAGCACTAATTCATGCTGCTATCACGGAAAACCACCACCCCAAAAATATCCCACAGCAGCTTCCTACCATGAGCAAGTGGGTTTCATGAGGAAAATGAGATTTGCCTTCAACCCAAGGTATATATACGTAAATGAACTGAAGCAGGAAAGATCCTGCCCGAAATTGACATCATGGAACTGACATCATGGAATTGACATCCCAGGTAAAGCCCAAGTTTTTGTATGCTATCCTGATGCCCCACCTGGTCCCCTGTGCCGCTTCTCCATCCAAATGTAGCAGTTACTCTGCGCCACCCCAGTCTGCGAATCCAGGAACGGTAATCGGACACTTCTTTCAGCACACAGCCGGGCGTTATAATTGTGACACTGCTCCATTGCATCCTTGTAATATTGTTCACCAAGGCTAGGACAAAAGATTGGGAGGGACATCATTAATGAAATGTCTTTCTGTAGTACAACAGTGTGCATTTGGGGAGTGGAGAATGTTTTAATATAAAGGGGCATGTTGGAAACAAAATTCAGGAAAAAGTTTATTTGATTTCATTTAAACATAATTACAACTCAGTTGTGGTACGGTGGCGTCGAGGTGGAGTTCTTGCCTCACAATCAGGAGACTGTGAGTTTGATCCTAGGTAGAGGGAGATATTTATCTCTCTGGGCACACTGAGAATATATCTGGTGAAAAAACCTTTGCATTGGCGACAGGAAGGGCATCCGGCCAATAAACACTCTGCTAGCTCCATTCAGTTGTCCAGACTCCACCCCGCAAGGGATTATGGGATCACTAAATGAAGATGATGATGATGATGATAATTACAACTCAGTTGAATATGGCCGGCCACAACCCTTCTGTAATTTTCTTTCGCATTGTAAAGTACAAACCAGGCCCAGCTTTGGGGAGAATCTGCATTCATCCTTAGGTAGTTTGACTGTCTGAATTATGTCATTGGGAGGCCCTGGATGAGTTTGTACGGAACATAAAGCTATTTTTTTAAAAGCATGATTTATTGTTGAAGCTATAATGTCTTGATTCACTCATCATACTTGACTGTAAGTGTATCACTTTATCGCTTAGTCTGATGATGAACCTGCCTCCATTTAATCCAGGAAACTATAGATGGATGATCTCACTTCCTAAGCATTACAAGAAACCACCCCTAGCAGGATAGATCTTTTGACAGATTGCAAATATTGTATTTTGTTCACACAGCTGACCGCTCGCAGATATTGTCATAATTAAATGCGAAGAGGCTGGTTTGAAATTCAAATTAGAAGCATGGATTTAAGCTTCCCCCCCCCCTTTCTTCAGAACAAAAGAAGCACCTGTGGAGCTGGTATTGTATATATGGCAACTGTCTTTCAATCCAGTAAATTCACCAGAAGAAAGAAAATGTCCAATTCTATTCAATAAATCCATTAGCAAATAGGCTTATGATGGAAACTTCTAAGAGAAAAGAATGCAGAAATATCTAAGAGTACACACAGCTTGCATTTTTCCCTTGTTCTTCAAAAATCTGTGGTGCAGCAGCAATGAAGTCTCTCTAATTGAACAGTCCATAATTATAGTAATTTCAATGTTTAAACCTTGCCACACACTAAAAAAAGCTGAAGGAGGGTAGAGAAAACAATGCAACTTGCTTGAAAGAAAGTAACATTACAACTTTGCTGTCTGGGGAGGAAACCAAAGGGAGGGAGAGAAAATTAATGTAGTTAAATCAGAATCCCACTATGTTTACAGTGTTTTATAGTCAATCTTGATCATCAACTATCAACTGAAACAGCTTAAAGAAATTTAGCAACACAAAACACATACACACACAATGTTCTTGGCTCAGTTAGGATCCACAATTTCCTCAACAAATGGCATGGTTTTGTTCAGATATGTGGGATAACACACAAAGCTCCTGGTTTTAACCATCTCTACTGCAATTCTTCAAGGCATTTAGAAATACCTGAGTAGGACGACTGTTTTTACAATTCTGGGATTCTGACAATTTCGGTTTCTCTCCTTTCTAAGGCCAAAATGCAGCTAGTCTTCATCCTCTCAAAAGAATCAACACATCTTAAACACTCAAAGATCCGCAACGGTCCTAACTGGAAGCTCCCCTGTTCAATTCTGAAGCTGATCGGAAGTCTGGTTCCCCTACCTCCTCCTTGTGTGGCGTCCTTTTCCCTCTACCTGTCCTAACCAAAAGCCCTATCAATTGTGGAGCTGACTGGCAACAGGGAGCCACAGCAGAGGGATGAAAGAGCCACATGCGGCTCCGGAGCCACAGTTTGCTGAGCCTTGTTCTATGGGGGAAACTGCTCCACTCCCACTTTGTCCCTCCATCTCCTTCCATATGGTAAGTTTTTATTTCTCTCAAATATTTCAAGTCCACCCGTCTGTGTCATGGGTTCAGAGTTTTTTCCTATATCCTGCCTTTCTCATCCCAAACCAATTCACATAAAAAGCAGTGGATGGGATGTTATGAGTTTGCCTCACATGGAAAATATAACAGCATCCCCAATCATCCAATTTGGTCTTTGAAGATGGAATATCAATGCATTATACGTAATTCCCTTTACTTTCCCTAATCAATCAGGAACATTGGAAGATTGAGAAGCTGCACACAACACAACTTGCAACTTCGCAACACTTTTTCCACTGGAAATAAGCTTTCCCAAATCAACTTCAAACTGATATTTCAAGTGGAAAGAATGAGCTTGTAAATTTGTGCCATTTTATTTTTAAGACAGCTACTCTCGTCTCTCTTTCCACCATTATTTGTACAAGTTGCAATTACAGGCAGTCCTCGACCTTCAACACTTCATTTAGTGACCGTTGTAAGTTACAACAGCCCTGAAACATGTGGCTTACAACCATTTTTTCACACTTGCGACCATTGCAGCATCCCCGTGGTCACGTGATCAAAATTCCGACGCGTGGCCACACTGACTCATATTTATGACGACTGCAGTGTCCTGCGGTCATTTGATCCTCTATTGCGACCTTCTGACAAGCAAAGACAAGGGGGAAGCCGGATTCACGTACCAACGGCAGTGATTCCTTTAACAACGGCGGCAGGAAAGGTCATAAAATGGGGCAAAATTCAATTCAAAACCTGTCTCACTTTAGCGACGGAAGTTTTGGGCTCCAATCACGGTCGTAAGTCGAGGACTACCTGTACAACAAACCCCAATAAAAAATATTTATTAAAAATTGATTATTTTTTAAAATCTCCTTTTCACCCATTCACCCTTTCCAAAGGCTGCGTTTCTTCTCCGATCCTTCACGTTTTTTCCCCTCTAAAACTGTAAATGCTTTAAAGAACAAAGGGGGGGGGGCAGAAAAACTTTTATTTTCCCATTTTGTGGGGTGCCTAGGAAAGAAATTCAGGACTTTCCCTCAAACTTCCATTAAGGGTCTTGACCTTTTTTTTGGGGGGGGAGCTCATTTTCTCCAAAGAGCTGCCCCAATTTTGATTATTTCGACCCCTTTTCCCGGTGAAGTTTGCCAGGAAGACAAGCTAAATAGCAAGGGCAGGGCTTAGGATGATGGGAGTTGTGATCCAAACATACCAGGTGGGAGAAGATGCTCCCCAAAATCTCTCAATTTTCCCCCAGTTTTCCACTCAGAAACCTACTCCTTAAGCACATTATATAAATTTATATATATACGTAAATATAATGTGTTTAAGGCTTCTGAGGGGAAAGCTAGGTTGTTGGGAGGAAAGGAGAAAAATAATACACACACACACACACACAAACATATATTAAAGGGGATTTTTTTTTTCGCCTCTACAAGTCCCTCTATTTACTGTATTTCATCCAAGCCTTTTTTGGGGGGGGGGAGCGGGATTTACCTCAGCCCCCTCAAAAGATTCATAATTGGGGTTCGGGGTTTTTTTAAAGGTTTTTTTTTCCTCCTTTTTAAAAAGCTCCTCTCCATCTTTAAAAGGCATCTTGAGGTAGCCGGCGGTCTTTTTCCCCCTCACGTACCTCACTTTTGAAACTTTAAGGTGCTTTCTTGCCCACCTCCCCCAAACATACACACATACATATATATACACACACAAAGGCTCCGTCCGCTTTTTAAAACCCACTTTTTAAAGATATCGCTTCAGTCCTAAGCAATGAGCAGAGGAGAGAAAAAGAGATTCAATAGCTAACCCCTCTCCTTCCATTATCCCGTCAGGAACACCCCCGCGAGCGGAATGGACTCTTCCCCAACAACCCTCCTTGCGCGCACTTCGTCTAAGGTTCGGGTTGTACCATTGCAAGCAAAAGGGGGGAATGGGGGGGAAAAGAGGGGACAGTTCCACTCACAGCTTCACCACATTCTGTACCATCGCCGCCATCTTCCCCTCTGCCGCCTGTGGCCGCGAAGCACGCGAGGGCGCATGCGCCGAGTGCCCGTTCTCGCTGACTCCGGCGACCGCTCTCCATGAAACCTTCCGATCAGGTTCGAAGACGGCGCATGCGTAGTGGGCCCCAACTTGTCCTCACACTCCAGGAAAGAGAAGGCAATTACACCCACGCTCTTCCCGCGGTGGGAGAGGACAGGCGCAAAGAACACGCAGGCGCAAAGGAGGCCGTCGACAAAAATTCCATTCACGTGTGTTGCGCATGCGGCAGATCTGCCATCGAGAGCGCATGCGTGAAAAGTTCCGGGAAACAGAGAATTAAATTTTCGATGTAATATTTTGTAGTATTTAGAAAAAATATATAAAAAATACCTCACTGCTGCCCTTACATATATCTGTCTAGAAAAAAAATACTAGGCATTTTAAATGATGCTTTTCTTTTGCAAATAAATATTTATAAATAGGTATTTATATAAAAATACCTATTTATATATAAATATAAATAAACTTAATTACTTACATTTGATTGTGGGCTTACAACAACAGTTGGGGAGCAGAATTTCCATTGCTAAGCAAGGAGATTGTTAAGTGAATTGCACCCAATTTTATGATTTTTTTTGCCATGTTTGCTAAGTGAATCACTGCCGTCTTTAAGTGAATCATGCAGTCATTAAGCGAATCCAGCTCCCCCCAATTGATTTTGCTTGTCAGAAGTGGCTAGGAAGATCACGAATGACCCTGGGACACTACAACTGTCATAAATGCAAGCACCTGAATTTTGATCACATGTTTGTAGGGATGTTGTTAATGGTCATAAATGTGAGGACTTGTTGCAAGTCGCTTTTTCCAGTCCCGTTGTAACTCTGAATGGTTACAATGAATGCTAAACGAATGGCTGAAAGTCGAGGGTTACCAGTATGCAAATATACATCCATGCATATTATGTTGAAGAATTAGAATCAAATGCACCACTGGTTAAAGTTATACTATTCTTAAAGAGAAAATGCACGGATCCATGCTCTCCACCCCAAAAAAGCCACAGATTTCTACAGTCATCTAGTCTACCCCCCCCCCTCTCCCCCACCCAAGCAGGAGACCTTACATCATTTCTGACAGATGGCAGTTTGTGGATTTTCTACATGTTAAATACAACAACGGATAGTTAACAGAGGGATTTGACTGTTTGATGAGAG